TCCGTGTCGAATGAAGACATTTATCCATCTCAGACAATGTATGAAGGGTTGCGCAGGATCATGGATCAATTGAAGTTAAACATTAACACCATTGGATACCGGCTCAATGGTTTAGAAGTTATGCGTCCGCTCACGAGAACAAATGATATTATTTAAGAATAGAAGTTGGAAATAACTCATGAACAAATACCTTACATAATACTCATAAGAGAGAGAAGTCACTATGGTAAAACTAAGGCTGATAACTGTATCCTATTGGATATTGATTGAAATATTGCATTAAAATGACTTCAAAAAAACTTAAAAATTTCAAGTTTTTTTGTTTATTGATTATTTTAAAAGAATAAATAAATAAAATAAAATTGTTTAAAAAATGTTTTTATCAAGTAGATTGTTTTCTAATTTCAATGGATATTTTATTCAGAAAAACAATATTCTTTTATAAGTAGTAGATTTCAAGTGAACTGATTACTACCAAATAAAAGGTTAGTTTCAATGAAACTAAATTCTATGGGATTATTGAATGTTGAGTATCATATTAAGGGTTTAATTTTATTTTTCAATAGTAATTTTAATAATAAAGTATCTTTTGAGTAATATTGTGGTGTGTGCTACTTATATAAACATAAGTAATATATGATGTCAGTCGTGAACAGAATGTCTGGCAGCAGAGAGAAAAAAGGATCGAACAGTAAAGAATGGAAACAGAATGCAATTTGTATGAAAATGCAAGAACAATGAAGTCTGAGTCATTTTCAGACAATTGATGGACGTTTTGCAAATTGAGCATTTGATATATGGTTGTTAGATTTTACTAACAAGTATTGTAATTGTCCCCATTGGTGTTCTTGTTCACTACAATCTTAACTAATTAATACATGTGCATAAGCTGAGTTGTAGCACGAGAAAAAGTTATACTGAATAAATGATCAGTCATTGTGTATGTAATGACATAATCTGTTACTGTCTTTGCAAAATTAATTAACAGCGGCATACTATCTCACATATTGGATGGAATGAACAAAATTGAGATTAATCAAGTTTTTGATGAGTGGACATTATCAAATGATGTATAACAGCAGTTGATTTAATTAAGTGGAATATCAAAGTCAAACTTTCAATATTTTTTTGTGAGAATGTTGAAAGTATTTAGCAGAAGGCCTATCACTTAGTAGTTAGTTAAAAAAATAACATGAATTATTACTCAGAAGTCAGTTAGTGCAGTTTCTCTAACAAGACATTAGTCAAGTTATGAATAGTTTGGTGGTTATATCTATAACTGTGACACTAAGTGAAGAAGGGCTATAATCTCATACAAAGTGTCTCTTCCTTCAAGATTGTACAAATATTACGATGACGGCTGCTAGCTTGACAGAAACCTATGTCTGTGTCTTCTTACTGATTGTCTATACTTTGTTTAATCTCAAGTTCCTTTACTGTATATATTTGCTTAAATGAAAGAACCTGTTTGTAATTTCATATTTTGATTCCAAATATCTCGTGAAAATGAATGTACTTATGACTGATTTCAAAACAAAAATGTTTAAATAACTTGTGAATTTCGTAAAGCTGCCAACTTTACACACAGTATACAACTCGATTAATAATGATTATAATTCCATTGAGTCAAACCACTACATGATATAGGTCAGTATGGAAGAGGTCTTAATCAGAACCGTACAAATTAATAGCTTATTCGTTATTATTATTAAACAAGCCATACAATGAAACAGAATCTAACCTTAAATTTCTGATGAATACATTTCAAAGAAAATCACTGATACGCTGAATAATTCTATATCACAAAATGAAGACTATTTTTGAATACAAACACTTATTCAGTAAACAGAAAAAGACAGTAAAAGTATATTATGTTGACGCCCTTAAGTGAATTAATTAGAATTAGGAGATTGTCCCACTGATTTCTTCACGAAGTCCAAAATTCAGTGAAAGATACCATATATTTTATCACGAACAAAGTAAAAATTGTCAATATGTGGTTCCAAGAATACTCATGATTGATAAAAATGTCATCCATGGAGCTAGAAAATGAGTGTAAAATGGCGCTTTTTTAGCTGAATTTTGCTAAATAACTTCACTTGATACACATTGTTTATGGGGGTATCTGATATGATTCAATTCATAGTCAAGGATGTTTAAGTAGTAAATAAGTAGTTTTCCACTCTAACTTATAGTTATAAATCTGAATCCTAACTTTTGGAATTTTACCAATAAAAGGATGGCAAATTATAATTTTATTATAGCTGATGTCATTGCATAGTAATAAATTCTAACTGTTTCTTATAAATATAGTTCAACTACTTATAGCTAAACTTAATCTTTCTATCTTTACAGTTGTGTGTTTCAAGATATAAGGATAGATTATTCATATTCAAGCTATTTACCCATTATAAATTTATTGCATTTTGTTGTCGATTCTTTTATAATTAAACACTGCATTCTGATTGGATAACAAGTGGCTTAAGGTTATCGAATGCACAAAATGAGAAATCGGTTCGTTAGATCACCACCTCAATTAAACTGTAATATTTAATAATAATATTAATAATATCATGTTTATATTACAGTGAAGAGCTACTTTAAAAAGTTACATTTTTAGTAGTATCAACCTGAAGTACATGATATTTTAGTGACTAAACATTACTTATATGATTTTTTGAAAGCGATCTTGAAAGTAGTTAAAACGAACTTAGATGTAAGATAGCCATTACAATAACTAGCATCATATTTAGCTCTAACCCATAAAGGACATAATTTTCCATTAAATAATTTACAATGGTCTTTGCGTCATAAATGTAAACCGTTTAGTTAATATTATGGATTGGTTGATGTTAGACACTAACACTATTGAATGCCGGCTCAGTGTTCCAGTAAGTTAAGCGTTCGCGCGCCAGACTGAAGGCCCTGGGTTCGAATTAGGCGAGCGAGATCGTGGACGAGTACTGCACAATAGGACGAAACAGCCGTTCAGTGCATCAAGGTTTCCAACGGTTTGTATACAAACAATCGGTTCATGATCTCAATAAAAAAATATATTCAATATATTATCCCATCTAGGTTAGTAATCCATTCATCTTTAACCACCAACCAATGAAGCTTTTTGCGATTAAGTCGTAATAACTTGACATTAATACTGTTTACTTTTATTAAATCAAAGCAATCACATTCCATTCAACCCACTTCTTGCGTAACATTTAAGAAAAAACAACTAGGAAATTAACTAAACTAAAGTTTGTACTACACTATTTAAACAATAATCTTTATTTATTTATTTATTTTTTTGAAAATAAAAACTAGCGCGCTATTCAAGCGTATACTGGCAAACATACTAAATATATATTTTTTCTCTACTTCAAAAGTTTAGTCGGTACGATTATTTATTATTAATAATCTTTTCTTCTATGTAATGACAATAGACAGTTGTTCATTATGTTGTATTTTACACAGACTGTTTTGGCATAGATTTCTACTAATGAAATTGTTCAATATATGACTCATCATTTGTATAACTAAACATTGAACTAGGTATTGTCAATGATATATAACATTAATAGTTCTATATACTAAATAAAATAATATTTTGTTCAATCTATATAAAGTTGTAGTGTGTGCTACTGATATCGATAATTATAAGTAGTATGTATTATTAATCGAAATTGAAATGCCTGGAGGTAGAAGGTTAAGAAGATCGAAGAGAAGAGAACGTGAATAGTAAATGATTGGTATGGAAATGAAAAAAAAACAATATAAGTTTGAGACGACTGACTAACATTTTGCAAATGAAGTATTTACTATATAGTTCTCAGATAGTATCAAGATGTTCTGTAAGTTTGTGTTGAAATACATTCAATTATCCTCACTTATGTTCTCGTTTACTATATTTAGTGTCGTTGCCAAATTATCTATTACTCAATACATTGAAATTTATACTATATTCAATTATTTAAATATCATTCAAATTATACTTAAGCGGTTTATTACATAGAAGATTTTTTGTATTTCATGTCTGTTTTTAATTACGTCAAAGGAAATTCTTAAAATATCAATGATATATGAATGAAAATTTAGTTACATTAAAGTTTAAAATAATATATTCTGGTAACTTATTCGTTAAGATTTAAAATAATAATAATGATGATTTACAAAATTATATGGAGTTATAAGATGATCGAATGACATCCTGATAAAAGTATATTTTATTGGATAAGATTCAATTACTTTTGAAATGGTGGAGTAATTTTGAAGCTTTATTACAATTAAACAACAGAAAGTATGTATAAATTTAAAGATATTTTTTTAGAGAATAGTAATGTGGTCAGCTGATGTTTTAACAGTTTAAGAAAGAGTGTTCATTTTGCACAGCTTGTTATCAATTTTCCTATCATATTACTGTAGAAATATTGGGTTATGTTCTGATAAGTATAATGAATGGTAACTTCTGGTATCGTTAGTTTAATTTCTGGCAAGATGAGATCATAAATGAGTACTGCTCAAGAGCCTCACAATAGAACGAAACAATCATCCAATACTTCCAAGTTTTTTTGAAATAATGATCTAGCTTCAATTCATTCATTCATTGACGTCGGGCTCACTAGTTGTAGTGTTGTAGCGTGACATCAAGTGGTGTTAGATCCCTTCATAAGCCAAATATCAGAAGGCAATTGAAGGTTGCAGTAAGATGTATTTGTTAGCAATCTCGTGGTATCGAAAGAATATCGAGATCATGCCAAAGAGTACAAATGGAACTACTACACGTAACCAAGAACGTGCAAGGTCACAGTCAACGGAAGAATATATGTTTTTTTTAGTACAGTTAAACAAACAAGTACAGTAAAATAATCACTGGTACAATAGCTTATAATAATAATTGTTTCTATTATCCCAATCACCTTCTCCTGATAAAAGTAAATCAATAATCAATTCTTTCAAATTTAAAAAAAAACATTTAAATCAATCAATAAATAAATCAATAAACTTACATTTAAATAATCTATTTTAATTTGATAATTATTTTCTATATAATTCATTAAAAAATCATTTAATTGATAATATTGACTTAATATATTTGAAAAATCAATAAAAAATCTTGAACACATATATTTTTCCATTAATTTTATATCAATCATTTTACATGGTTTATAACCATTTATTAATAATTTACAATATTTTAATAATCCACCACCATATATTTCTTCTGGTTTATATATTACTATTATATTATTATTTAAATGTTTTAATGCTTCTATATAACTACATGCTACTGATTTTATTACTATGATTGGATAATAATTTTTATTCATTTTTTTAATTTTTTTATTATTATTATTATTTTTTTTTATATCATAAAATTTTAATAAATTATTAATAATAATATGAAAACTATCAATTGTAAATTCATATTCACGTGATATACGATCAATAAATTTAATTTTTATTAATTTTTCATTATATTTATTTATTGTATGATAACCAATAATAAATAATAACCATGAATCATATGTATTATTTGTTGGTTTATAGATACGTATTATTTTTTGTATATATTGTTTAATAATAATATTAATATTATTATTTATTATTATTATTATGATTGTAATTTGTATTATGATGTTGATTGAATTGATTCAATAATTTTGAACATATTGAACATGTTGAACATTTTGAACATCCTATGGATGACATTAATGAATGATAATAACATAATGAATGATTTAATTTATAATAATAATAATAATGATTATTATTATTATTTATTGTATGCTGATTAGTTAATATAGGATAATTACATTGATTGTCTTTTATAATATTATTATATGATATAGTATTTAATTGATTTTCATGTAATGGTTGACGATTAATTAATGATTGATTTATAGGAAATGATAAATTAGAATATTGATTTGTATTGATTTTTTGATGATTTAAATTTTCTAAATTTTCTTTATTTAAATTAGCCGGTATATTGAATGAATTCAATTTACAATATGAACATGATTTACAATAATATGAATTTTGTGTTGTTTGTATTGTTGATATATTAAATGGTAATATAGAATTATAACAATATATACAATTATTTGTAATATTTGATAAATTTTCTAAAATTATTGTATCTTTTAAAATATTTTCTAAACATGAATATACTACTGATTTAATTTTTGTACATGTTGTAGAATTAGATAAATCAACATAAAATAATAATTCTATATCATGAAATATTTGTTTATTTTCTGAACCTTAAAAGAATAGTTTTTTTTAAAAGAAAAGAAAAATATAAGAATTAAACAATACGTTTTGATACAAGGTTAATTTAATGGATTAACGATACACTAATGATTAATTGTATATCATTCAGAAATGAAATGTGTTTGATGAAATGTTTAATTATATCATTCATTGATACATGTTAAATAGGTCTTGAGTTCAAATTCCTTGAGGCGAGGTCGTCGATGCACATTGCTGAAGTCTCGAAATAGAACCCAAACGTCTATCCATTGCTTTCAGGTTTTCCATAGTAGTCTAGTTTCAAATGACTCATGATCTTAACTATTGAAAATCCCCTATGAATTTGTATATTATAAAGATGGTTAATAAATATTTTATTGATTACTTGGCTTATGATAATGACTTTTTTCAATATTATCGATTTAAATAATCAGTTTAAATAGTTATTTTAAAATATTGATCATATTATTGAAATCATAAATCGTTTTAATTTAGAGAGTCAGGTTAAACGTTCATGTATGAGACTGAAAGTACTGGGTTCCATCCTCATTGACAGGGTTATGTATATATATCGTTATTGAGTAGTCCTATACTAGAACGAAACAAGTATTAATGTGCTCTGGTTTTCAATGACTGTGTTACTTAGACAAGTTCGTGATCTCAGTAAAAACAAGAAACCTAGATGCTGACTATAATATTAAATCAACATGAAATTTTAGTGATTTAATGAAGATTTTATTATATATGATTTTAAATCCCTATTAGATCCCATTTATTTATTCATATGTTATTTTAAAATATCTGAATTAATGAACTGATTCTATATTGAGTATTTAATAGTCTTGGATTTCGCATTTTAAAGACTACACAATTAACTTCTAAACCACCTTGCAACTTTCTAACGCTGGATCTATTTATATCTATTTCGGCTCGATTAAATACTTGAATTAACTTTAGTTTGCTAACCATTGAAAATAAAGAAGCATTAGTCAATTGTTTCGTTCTAGTATAGAAATCCTATAGTATGGTACATCTACAACTACAAAAACGAATGAACTGATCAAATATTTAAGAATATACTTAAACATAAATAGACAAGATTTAAAAAAACTGTATTCTTCACAAAAAAGGCAGTACATTTATTTGGCTATTATACTGTATAACATTGTTTTGATGTAATAACATTATATCTAAGGGCTATACTAATCACATGATATTTCATCATTTCCTGTTTACCGTCAATTCAATCTGAATGATAACTGACAATTATGTTATTAAATGTTCTTTTCACAAAATAACATTATCCATTTCATTAGAGAATGACACTTTTCATTATGATAAACAGATGGAATTTTATAGGTTTTAACCATAGAATTTTTTATTATGATTATCAAATCACTGATTCAGTAAATTGATTGCTCCTATTCAACATCATTGATAGATTATTGACTCAGCAATAAATATGTCAATAGATCATAGCTTTCAATCAACTATGCAAATACTGAACGTATTAACAATGTTCATTCATAACTTGTAGTGTATATCCTTGATCTCATAAAGAATCGTACCAAAGACTTTCAAGTTTTATGTGAGCCGGTATCTGACGATTTACACTTAACAAAAGTTCAAGGTTCTTTACCTCTTACTGCCTAGGGTATTCATTGCTAGGTTCTATATTATGATTAGACCATTATTTAGTGCTCATTGGTTCTCAAATATTGTTTGACTAAAATCATTCAACAATGTAATCTACAATTAAACAATCTTCATCAAAACATTTTCATACTAAAAAGTGGTTGATCACTATTTGAATAGTCTAATAAATTGTTGATTAAATTGATTTCAATAGCCATTTAGACAGTCTGTATTTTGTAACAATAAAACCTATCATTAACAGAGGGCTATTTTGAAGAGATTATAAAATTTCCATAGAGTAAATCATAAGCTGAATAAGGTTAGATATATTCAGCTTTAGTTCCCGGGCTATTGACCTTGTAATCAAGCATTCACACGCAAAACTGATGATCTGTGGTTCTATTCCTGAGTCCAGGGTCATGGTTGCTTACTGTCTTTAAGTAACTCTATACTACAATTAGACATCTGTTCAGTGTCCAGGTTTCAATAATGGTTAGTCTTAAAATAATGCTAACATTAATTGTTCTAGTATATCAGATATAAATTAAATTCAATAAATCAGACATAGTGTAGTATAGAATGAATCTCGCATTGTGTTCAATATCTCTACTTTGGTTCAGTACTCAAGTGTATGAAACTGCGTTGGACTGTTCCATTGGATTAAAATTTCAACAGGTACATTATAAAAATATTATTTGTTTTGTTTAGAAATCACCAGATGTGACTCATTTGTAATTATTAGATTTTTATTATACGGTTGTCAACTCCTATTTACAAACACATGTAATAAATCTTTTTCGGTTATTAAACTCGGTCAATGGATAACATTATTTTGCATATTTAAACAAATTCTTTATATTTCACAATATGTTTATCAATAAAATCTCAGGCGATTATTTCATTTCATTCAGGATTATATCATATAGATTAATTGGTTTAAGTCTAATCGAATTCTATGCTTAATATGACCATCTAAGTGGTTTTTCTTCACCAAAATATACCATTCTGAAAAACAAATTATCTCTGATTTTAAACATGTTCGAAAAATTTGAATCTAAATTAGAGATAGCGTGATGACTAGAGGTCATTGTGATTAAAAATAATCACCGCAAAAATTATTGACTTTTTTATAAATCTTAAAACAATAATAATCAGTCTCATTATTTGTAAAATGGTTGATATTATTACGTTAAAAGTTTGAGAACTGTAAAAGTGAGAGATATGAAAATTTGTTCACCTATAATGAAGCAAACGCTAATAATTACATTAAACCCCAGATGTCATTATGAGATTGTGCAGATTGTTAAATTTTATTTCGATCACAGGTCGATTCAAGAGAAATGGCCGTTAAAGACATGAAAGGAGAGGATAGTCATTTCGCCTTAATGTGAGTTTGTTAGGTAGTGCTCACCTACGACCATGAAAATGAGAGTCAAATCTAAGTCCGGTATCGTTCGTGAACGATTGGTCTTATGACCACTGAGCCGGACCCAATGGTTTACAAGCATAAATTCAGTCAATCCAATCATTTTCAATTGTCTTCAGTCGATAATTGCCTCATACACGACACTGTTTCGATCAACTGATCATGACTTCTCGTCGGGACTCCGGGTATTTCCTATCAAAGCCAGGCAATAACGAGCACATGACAATTGTCATCAGGACGTTATAGAGATAGTAGATTAATTGAAGTCATATATTAACATCGTCGCATAGCTACTCAATGGTCTAGACGTTAGAGGTTTGCGCTCGAGACCGAATTTCTCGGGTTTGATTCACGATTGTGGAGTCGTGGATGCGCACTATGTAGTAACTCCATACCAGGATTACATGTTTTCAATGATTGTCTAACTTTGACCGGTTCGTGGTTTCAGTGATAAGCCACAGCTTTTTTAGTACTACTATGATCTCATGTATAGTTACTCATTGGTAGTTATTCGCACCTTTATAATAGAAAATTGTGAAATAAACAAGCTAGACATTAAAACAACAACTCTTAAGGCCAAGAGATTTACATATAACTGTTTGAAACTTACCAATAATGATAGAACTTGCAACTTCACCATTTAAACGTATCTCTTTAACTGGTATTGATTCTTTCAGTAATCCATCGCGTATTGTTCTAATAAGTTTCTTTAATTGTGTACGAATAGTTGGTAGTTTTGGTGGTTGTTGTGATGTAAGTGGAATAAGGGAATGTGAAATTGTATTTTGATGATTAGGTAAGCAACAATCATTTGTTAGGTGTTGATAAGCATTGTTTATGGTATTATCAATACTTGTGTTATTGATTTCACTATTAGAAAAGCCTGTTGGATTGGATGTTACTAAATTATTTACCTTTGATACTGGTACTGTAGTTGGAACGGATGAAGAGATTACTTTATCAATATTATCATTACTTTCAGTATTGTTTAAGTTAGTCGAATTAATCAAACAATCAGAAGATAAATGATCTGAATGTTTTGTATATGAATGTTTCATAAAATCATGAATAATCGGATTATGTGTACAGAAACATGAACATGGTTTACTAGTGACTGTTGGTAAAGATGTAGTTGGTAATAATGATGATGATGGTGGTGATATGATATTGTTTGTACCTAAAAAATTTTGATATACAGGCTTTGGTGAAATACTTATATATGAATTCATTATTTCATCTAAATATTTCACTTGTTCAAAATTAAATATATGATAACGATTTGAAGTACATGATGGATTTAATGTATTAAAATCAACATTCATTGGAACATCAGATAAAGATGGTCCACAATCTTTACTACGTTTAAATCGTCCATAATCAGAACGTTTATAAAATGTACTATTTGTATTATTATTATTACTATTATTGTTATAAGTAGTATTCGCAGTAGTATTCGTAGTATTCGTAGTACTAATTACAGATGAACGTTGTAATGATAATTTATTATTTCCTTTATTTATTTCATTCTCTCCATTATTATATGAATAATTTAATATTGGTTTATATGTTGTATAATTTATTAAATTAAATGTTTTACGTTTTTTATAAAATTTATTATAATTTAAATTTAAAAAATATTTTGTTTGTTTATTATGATAATTTGTAATTATTTTTGGTAATTTTATACCTAATTCATAATCAATATTCTCTTGGATACTATACATTTTTGGTAATGATTCTAATCTTGTTTTTAATTTACGTTCAATGATATTGTAATTAGTAGTACTATTATTATAAGTATTAAAATTATTATTATTATTATTTTGATTTTGATCAGTTATATATAATGAATGTTTTAATGTATAATCTGACAATTTATTGTTTATATACATTACTGATGATGGTGATGAAGATGATGATATCGATAATGATGAGGTTGAGGTTGAGGATGAGGATGAAGATGAAGATGTTGTTATATAAGATAAATTAATTGGTAATTTATAATCATTTTTAAAATCTTTCATATTTAAATAAACTTTTCGATTTTTTTGTGAGATAAATTTATTTTTTCAGTGTCAATTTTTTAGATAAATTTGACAACATGGTTATTATTAGTCTATGGGTGTGTATATGTGTATGTGTGTACGTGTGTGTGTGTGCGTTTGTATACATGTATACGCTCCTATAATTGTCCTTAAAGTGATTCATATATATATATATATATATATATATATATATATATTATTTGAATGTTTTATAGATTTTATTAGGAAACAAATGAAATTGTTCAATTTTGATAAATAAAACAAATAAAATTTTAAAAAATGATCATCATAAATAATCTTTTTATCATTTTTTTCTCTTTTGTTTTTATTCATTTAAAACATAAAAAACTACTCAAATGTACTTTATATATAATAAGATATACATATATGTTAACTCAATACCAACAACATTTTTTCCCAATCAATTTTCCCTATATTTATCAATGATTCGTTAAATTTTACAATATAACCTTGACCCGTGAAATATGATTGGTTAATAGAAATGATCTCTATTATCTATTTGAAAGAATTCAACTAATATATAAATTTTTATTCTTATTGGTTTATTATTATTTATTTGAAATGTATACAGTGGGCGGAAAAGAGTATCATGAAAAAGATAATTATAACATATGAGAACTATGAAATTAGTTATTATTCTTTATTTCTTTTAAAAGAATTATTATAAAGACTTGATAGGATTTCTTTTCTAAAGATGTCGATAGATAGATAGATAGATAGATGTTTCTTAAAAGAATTATGAGCTAAATTTTTTATAGTGATCAGAATGGGTTTTATGAAGATTATAGTAATTTTAATAGTTGAATTCATGAGTCGATGTAAGCTAGACCATCATTGAAAATCTGGTAATACTGAAATGTTGTTTCGTCCTAGCATGAGACTCCTCACTAATTAGCATCCACGATTTCTTATCAAAAGGATTCAAATTCAAGACCTTTCATCTCATGTGTAAACATGTGAACCTCTAAACCACTGAATTGCCATCCAATGGTGTTAATGTTGAACTACAATAGAACAATGAATTGTCGCTTATTCATTCATCCATTATATGAAGTATATACCTATCTGTACCCGACACGGGTAGGACTCCATTGATCATAGCTTCTCACTAGAACTCCAAGAAGTACATCTTGTAACCAGTTACTAGTGAGCACATGATGATTATTATTAGAATGGGTTTTGTGAAGATTGGAGTGATTTTTATAGTTGAGTTCATGAGTTGATTCATAAGTTTAACTATTAAAATTTTTATTAGTCAAAACATATTTTTCAGCAATAATTAAAAATTTATAATTTAAACAAAGCTGTTGTCTAAAATCAACATTATCCAACTATATCTACCTCATCATCAATAATTCGAGAATTTTATATAAGTCAACATCTAATTTTTATTTAAGCATTAAAAGAACATGAAGTTCAGCAAAGGAATCTCTGTTCAATGAATTTATTATCAAGCTGTATAGTCGTATATATTTATATGAATCTTTTTTAATTATTAATTCCGTGAATACATACGAACAATGTATAAAGATGATGATGTAATGATGAGATTATAATGCTAGATGACGTAATGCGGATAGTAACAATGGGATATAATATATATGGTTAGAGTATATACATATATATATATATATATATATATATATATATATATTCTCTTAAAAACTACAGAGAACGTTCTATATTTTTTGATTATGGATAGTGGTAGAGCTTAGAACGCCTGCTCCGTTCAAATTGCAGAATTCTTATAGTTAATGAATAAGCCAGTGGTTAACTGGGCTCAACAGCTTATTCATAAGCCATTTACATTTAATGTGATTGGTACTGGATCAGAACTACATTTAGAACAACAATGCATTCGAATGAGGAATCCTGAATAAAGAGAAACGCATATGTGATCAATGTTATATTCTTTGAAATCAAGGTAGTAATAAGCGTGTGGTCTGTTATTAAAAAAATATCGTCATAACAAGAATCATAATTTACTAACAAATTATCGGACCATACTTTCTTAGTACTTTTTTAGCTTGTATTATATTTTTAATATTAGTATGGTTTCGAGAACAAGATTGACAGAAATTCTGTCTTTGAATATCAAGTATCGGATAACTTATATCCTCACTGATAATCATACCCGCTAAACAGGTAAATAGATATCTTAACTCAGAAGCTGATTAGATGATGTGTTGGCATTTAACGTGAAATGTGTTGGATTCGAGTTCAGATGTGTTTATCAAAGCTAGGATGTAAATATATAAACCTGACGAATTCTAAATAAAATGAAAATTGTGTCCTGGATGCCGCTGCTATTCAAAATCCAATTTTTCTATATTTTAGTTTGTTATTTCCTACCTAAAACGTATCTCTAAATAATTCTTTATATACTAACAATCTTTAAATGTATCAAATGCTTTAGACGTTTATCATAGGAAAGTTGTTTATTTTAATTAAAACAAGTGATAGCAAATTCCTTAGAAATTAATAGCATTATTTATATTTAAGTATGTGTCCGGAATTCATACGACGGACTACACTGCAATGTCGTGTATGGAGGACAGTTGACAGACGCATTCCAAGTGAGGACCAGTTTCAAAAAATGCTGCTTACCCTCTTCCTTCATCTTTCTTCTGGTGGTCGACTGGATTATGAAAACCTCGACATCTGACTGGAAGCTCAGAATACAATGAACAGCTCGCATGCAACTAAACGATTTAGACTTGCAGATAACCTGACTTTTCTAACACTTACACACCAACAAATTTTGGTGAAGACAGCCAGTGTAGCAGCAAACTCTGAAAAAGTGGGATCTTGAAATACAATGCACAGAGCATCAAACCAATCACACATGATGGACAGGCTATGAAAGTGGTGGGAAGTTTTACGTACCTAGGGAGTATCATCGACAAACAACGACGATCTGATGTAGATGTAATGGTAGGGATTGGCATAGCAAGGACAGCACCCCTACAGTTGAAGAACATATGGAACTCAAAACAACTGTCAGCCAACATCAAAGTCGGAATGCTCGATACGAACGTCAAGTTAGTTACTTCTATTGTATGGAGCTGAAACGTGCAGAACTACCACAAACATCATCAAAAGGATTCAAGTATTTTCAAACAGTTGTCTACGCAAAGTACTGAATATCCATGGACCGGATAACATCAGCAACAACCTACTGTGAGAGAGAACAAACCGACTTCCAGCTGAAGTGGAAATTAGGAAATAACAGTGGAAATGGATAGTACACACATTATGGGAAACCTCAAACTGCATGAGGTGGCAAGTGCTTATTTGAAATCATGAAGAGAAAAGGAAAATAGGAAGAGTAAGCAACATATTACGTCCGGAATCTGAGGCAGATATCATAGACATGAATAGCAACTGGGAACAACTAGAAGGAACTGCTCAGTACAGAGTTCGATAGAGAATACTAATTTACGTACTATGCTCCTCCACGAAGGATGTTTACATATTTATGCATAATTAGCTAATTGAATTCAAAACGTTTCCAAAAATAATGATGTGACATAATATTAATAATCAATGTTAAAATAACTGAAGATTTCCGTTTTTCACTTGTAACTTAAATAAAATTACTCTACGTTACGTTAACACAGAATGAATTATAAATAAATAATTAATAATTAAATGATTACTTATTACATTTTTATTTAAGTTAGATAAATTGAGTAAATTAGATAAGAGTTTTATCCAAGTTTAAGATGTTTCAACTGTTTTTCACTCATAATCTTATATAAGTTTACCTAATAAAATTGAATGAAATTTTAATGAATAGTGATAAACTCCATTTGTATATTGAATTGTTCATATGTGATTAATTCAATTTTAGGTAATTCATTTTAGTAATATGAGGAATATAAATTTCATATAACCAAAAAAAAAAATCAATTACATTTTACGAATTAAACATTCATTAAAAATTAAGAGGCATCGGTGAGCTGATCATTGTAGTATAAGATCATCTAATAGTGTACATTCACAAGTTGAATACAGATCTAAGCCTGAACACTTGATTCTTGAGGTGATCACTTAACCTCTAGACCATTGAGCCAACATTACATGATTTGTATATTTGACTTCAATTAGTTTGCGATATCGCACAGATATTTTTTGAATGGTGTACCTAAGCATATAAATCATTAAGTTCCAGCTCAGTGGATTATAGGTTAAGCGCTCGTTGCAAGACTTGAATGCATTTGTTTAGATTACCTTGTGAATTAATGAATGAACGCTGTTCAGGGGTCTTATATTAAAACAAAATAACTGTTCAATACTTTTAGAAAATTACTCTACTTCTATAAGCTCTATTAAGTTACTTAAATATTGGTTAAAATTCAACTCGAACATCAATTCTACTTAAAATAAATGAAATTAACAACAGTTATCAACTGTTAAGTGTAAAATATGTTGTTCAATAGTCGTTTCTTTCTAAAAATAAAGTAATTTAATAATTACTTCTGTCAAAAGCTTAAAACAAAAACAATTTTTTATACATATCTCTACAATTTAGAATGTGTTGCTTTCCATTTCTGCTTCGTTAAATGGACAAATTTATAGCCTAGTGTTTGATTGATTGTCATTTCCAATATGTAAGACATTTATCTACTTGACTTTTGAACCATAAACTTCATAAACTTATTTACAAGGTATAAAGTTTAGTCTCTAACTCTAAGGATTTATACAAGTAAAATGAGGAATGGAAATAATGATACTAATCCAGATTGATTAAATGATATGAAATTATTTTTGTATAAAGACTGATTTAAATTTAAAGAATAATTATGTAATTTAGTTATCGCAATTAGATACCATTCAAAAACTTGATCTGAATTTATAGTAAGTGAGTAATAAAATACAAATATCAATCAAATCTTAAACTTTCCTACCATTTCAAATGATAATTTCTCTTTCGTTTTGTATGTTGGTTAGTGGAA